TTAGTATAACATCTTACATGTGGTTTCGAATTGTTACAGGTTACGTGGGAGCCGTACGATGAAGAGGGGCAATTCCTTTTTAGTTGAGCGACATGTGTGGGTGGGACAAGGACCTCTACAAGATGAGGTGCCCTCTAATCTACTTCTATGCTATCGAGTTCCACCTGCCACATAGAGTTGCACGCCAATTTGGTATACGACGGCTTTGGCCACCAGAGCCGTTCTCGACTTTAGTTGACTTACACAAGTAAGTGTCATGCTATTTCAATTGTCCCATACATGACACTGAGCGTTTTTGTCCACGAGTCAGCGATAATGACATGCGTAACTTCCTAGATGCAAGCTTCTAAAAAGTCAGTAAAAAATAAATACGTGAAATGCTTTTAGTTAACATGATTTTGTATAATAGAGACTGGAACGTCGGCTACGCCGTGTGGCTGCTTGTTGTGGTTATAGGACAGCCATGACACTAGACGTGCATGTTCCTTCCACAGGCCTAGGAGGCTTGGGTTCATCTAGCCATGCACCTATAGGGTCCATAGGCCATGGCGTTGCGTACAAGGACGAGGACAACGAGGAGGTGGACTAGAGAGACGAGGTGATTGGCCCATCTCAGCTCGTCGGCACTCCTTTGACACAGCCTTCACAGCCACCAGCACGTAGATGGCGCTCACCTACCTGTTACACTCCAGGCACTGACGCTCTTGGTAAGGGCACGGGTAAGACTAGGAGGCGTTGATGGAGACTAGTTCTTTTAGACCATGGTACTTTCACCTGTGGACTTGTGGTAGATGTTATTATGGACTATTATGGACTTTTATTATGGACAATTATGTATTGTATAGACTACTATTATGAACTGTATGTACTATTATTATGGACTGTATGGACTATTATGGACTATGTGCACTGTTAATATGCTCATGGATATGGTTTGAGATGAAGGTGGTATATATTTGTATACTTGTACATGTTGTATTGTGGTCATATATTCATGTCATATTTGTTTATGGATTTCATACGAAAATAGGGGAAACTCTGCCAAAATTTTCTGGCTAATGTATATTTGTGCAGTACACCTATAGCATCTAGTGTTTTCAGTGATTTATCATATCATCGTCGTATCATACAAAGACTTTCACAGATGAATTGATTACACGTATGAATCTAGCCTTTTTAGTTGAGTTTTCAAATAGGCTTTTCAGTCTGACTTGAAATAGTGATTGCAGTCTGACTTCAAATAGGCTTTTCTTTTGAAGAATCTAGGCTTTCCAGCGTTCTTCGATGTAGGCTTTTTAGTGATTCTAAGTAGGCTTTCTAGGAGCATTTACAATGCAATACAATGGCTACTAAACCTGCCTCCGCCTATATATACGCATTGCGGGATGCATTGCTAACCAAAACCAAATGAGTATTTGCTTTCGTTGGAGTAGCAATGTCTGGAGGGTCGTCTAGAGGGAAGTGTTTCGGCACTGGGCGAGGAAATGGGGGACGAAGGGAACTCCCATTGTGTAGAAGGGGTCTCTTAATCCTGATTTCTTTGAGGAACCAATGTATCATTTTCCGCCCGAGAGCAAGAGTGATTTCACCAAAGAGAACCCTCTTAGAGGATATGATAACCAGAAAGAAGATTGGCCAAAATGCTTGCATGGTGAGGACTGTTTAGTGCAGATGTTCAACGAGGGGATGGATGGAGGTCGTCGTTTCTTCAAATGCCCGCGAGCATGAGTAATTTCTATTAGTATTCGTTTGGCACTACAACTTACATGAGATACTCATTACAGTCTTCTGAGTCTGAAGAAAACTGCGGGTTCACTAGGTGGGTCGATCCTCGTCCAATTTATCCGCATCAGCAGTACATCTACTACCTGCAGGACCATATCTTCGATCTCGAAAGAGAAGTTAGCAGCGGTTACAAGGACGATGAAGAGGATAACAACAATGATGGTGCTGGTTCACAGAAACCACTCTTCAATGATCCATATTGCACCTGTCCTAATCACAAGAACAAGGAGCCTCCGCCGCCACCCCCGCCACCTCCTCCACCAACACTAGGAGGATACTGTGGAGAAGGTGCAACACAACTTGCTATGTGGCCACACTACTAGGAGGAACCTATCTTATTCACATGCTACATCCATATATTTGTTGTTTGGTTTAATTACCTAAGGCATGTTAGGTTTAGTCCAGGACCTTTGTATCCTTATTTGGTACATGTTCTCACATGCCATTTTATATATTTGTTGTTTGGTTTAATTACCTAAGGCATACTAGGTTTAGGCCAGGACCTCTGTACCCTTGTTTGGTACATGTTCTCACATGCCATTTCTTGTGTTGTGCATGTTCAACTATGTACTGCACTACTTGGTTAGCTTTTATTTCCAGTACATGAATTCGTTTCAGTACCTCCGCAATATTGAAATGAATATTATGACCACAATGGATGAAAACAACAACACAATAAAAAGTTCAATACTAGGAACAGTAAACAACACAATGATAATAGAAGTACATGCCGACAAACTAAATAACGCAAAACATGCCCTAAGTACATCCATATTTAAAGTGCAGTACATGACAACACAATGAAATATCTAAGACTAGACAACATTGTTCATGAATAAACCATAGAACAGCAAGTCATGGAGACTACTGAGTGCAACGAGTCCACTTTCCCTTCCTCAGGGCATCTGGATTCTCCTCCATCGCTGCTTTCGCTCGGCGCGCATGCTCAAGCTTCTCCTCCCTCTCCTCCTTGTACGCAGCAACACGCCCCTTTCCTCCTCTTCCTTGTGCTCCTTTTCTGTTGCCTCCTCTTTGCGTCTCTTCTCCAATATCTCCAGGCGCTCCGCATCCCACTCCTTTAGACCTTGCAGAAGCCGCTTGTTCGACTCCTTGATCTCAGTGTCGATCCACTGCTCAAAGTCACAAAGCGGTGGAGGGGTCTGCAATACATGCAAATGGTAGGCACCAAATAAATCAAGCATTATTTCATATGTCACAAAATAATTACTACACAATATAAATTTCTCACCATCAAGTTAATACGGCGCTGACGAAGTGTAGGCTCAAACACAAAATTAGCACACATCCAATACCTCTGCCTTATAGGTTTTCTCTTCCTTAGAAATGTCTACCTTGCAAGGATCACCACAAAAGCACATGGGAACTGAAACACCACTAGGCAGAGGCTTTGGGTTGAATGCATTTCTAGTCAACCGGCCCTTCCTACAAATGAACCAATTTCTTTCTAATTACCGAAAGCAATCAACAATAAATCCTAAACCTAGGATTTTTTTATTTCTTGCACATCAATGAACCCATAATAGAACAAGTTGGACAGAGGTTACCTTTGTTTACTAGATTTATCATGCCTTGGCATCTTACGGTTGTATAATACAAATATTAATAATTGCTTAAAACCCTAAGTAATGATGTTTCTTTGGTTGCAAAATACAGATAATATATACCGAATCAATACGAAAAAGGAGGAGGGGAGGGATGATACCTTGCTCTCGAAGATCTATGGATCAAATCCAAGTTTTCAAGGTCCAATATATCGATTCCTGAGGTTGGGCGAAGTGGGGAGAGCAAAAACCTGAGAGAAATGAGGAAGAAAAGGAAGAAGGCTCATCCAGGAAAGGGTGGGCATCGATTTTAAATGATACCACAGCGCCACAGATCTTGGCGCCGAGCTTGGTGCCATGGACTACGGCGCCAAGCTCGGTGCCAAGATATGTGGCGCCGAGTCGGCTGCCATGTCACCGCCACGTCTTCAGGCACGCCGACGCCCACCCAAGATCTAGACACTAGAGTAATTGGCGCCGAGACGTGTTAGCACGCGGCGTCAACTATCATGGCACCGAGGTCTGGGTCTAGTTTTTTTTGAAAGGATACCGTCAGGTGTGTTTATAAAAAACTTTCAAAAAAAAAGCAAGAAAACAAAAAATTCGGCTACTGGGGTGGCTGGGCACACTATGTAGGTGGTGGCGTAGGCGCTGGCGCTTTGGCGGCGAGCGTAGCCATCATGCAAGAGCAGTGTACGGGCCGACACGAGCAGGAGCGGTGTCCCACGGGCCACGGGCAAGAGCACGCATGGACGCAGCGGATAGCGATTTAGGCAGCACAGCACGAGGGCGAGATGCGACCAGTGAGCACCAGACTCAGCCTCGTGCCTACAGTGGCTTGGTGCTGTTACTGCTGTAGCGCGGGCGCTCCCAGGATAACGAGGTGCGCGACAGTGCGACACGGGCGCATGAGAAACGGTTTCATCATGTTTTCTTCCGTTTCGTCATTAACTGCCACACCAAATTTTCTACTGAGATGATATAGAATTTAATACTATGAAAACCAGTCTGCAACTGCGTGTTAAGGGTCACAACTCAGAACGAAGAACACACTGGTGGTTATGTTTGGATGGCAACCGGATGTGCAAAATTGCTACTTTCGTACATTTTCACTGATTTGAGCAATCCAAAGGTGGTATACTGTACCTTGCCAAAGAAAATAAAAGCTTGCATACATATATATATATATATATATGATGTACATACTACCTCCATATTAAAAAAATGAAGTCGTTTTGGACAGCGATACGGTCTCAAAGCATAACTTTGACTACTTATTTTTATAAAGATATTTATCAAAAAGTGATTTATGTAAATTTTTATGAAAGTGTTTTTCAAGACAAATCTATATATATGGTTTTCACATTTCTAAATTCAACAACTTAAAAGTTATTCATGGTTTATTTTCTTAATGTTTACCAAGCCTCGTTCAAAACAACTTTATTTTTTTTAGTACGGTGAGAGTATGTTGTACGGCAAATACGAAGACACAATTTTTTTTCTAGAAAAAAGAGTAAGCAAAGCAAGCGTGTTCCTGCTAATTAAGGTGATGCATATTTTGGAACATATTCTGGAGGTCTACGTCCCTGAGCATCTAGCTAAGGAACGAACCTGGAGCAAATGTACGTCCCGAAGGCCGGGATAGTGCTGGCCTCAGTGAAAACCACGGAAAAATCCGTTGACCAGGTCGGCCACCGGATGGCGGCGAAATGGTACACGCGGCCGATGATGCGGCCGGCGCCATGGAAGGGGCGGCCGGCGCCTCTGCAGGAACCACGGAAGCTGTGGCTGTGGCTGCTGCTGCTGCTCCTCCTCCTCCTCCTCCTGTGGAGGATGCTGCTCCTCCTGCTGTGGCTGCTGCTGCTCAATATCCTTCTCCTGCCCGTTCACCAGGCGGCACTGCTTCCTTACCTGGCCCTTGCCCTCGCCGATGAGCACGTCAAGCATTCCGACCTTCTGCATCGACTGGGCGAACTTCTGCTGCCACAGTGCTTCGTTCCGGGCGAAGGCCTCCACCATCGCCTTCGTCTGTGGGTCCTCGATGAGAGCGTTGTCCGAGGTGAGCAGGCCGCGCCGGGCGAGCAGCTCGGAGTAGTACGCGACGTCGAGCTTCTCCCCCGTTTGCGCGTCGAACTTCACCTTGGGCGCTTGCTCGGGGTCGTCGTCGGGCTTCCGCGGCGGGCACATCTGTCGTAGCCACTTGGCATACTCCGGGTCCAGCGTTGGGTCGATGTCGGCGTTTTGGGAGAAGTTGTAGATGCGGTTGGAGAACATAAAGCAGTGCGCGCCGCCGATGGAGTGCGCGCCGGAGAGCAAGACAAGGTCCTCCTGGGAGAGGCCTCGCTGGTTGAAGAGCTCGGTGAGGCGCGGGACGTGGTGGCCCGGCACCGGGAAGTTGCCCGGGAGGTCGTCCATGTTTGAGCGCATGCCGTCGCGGCGTCCCGCCACGACGTCGTATCTTGGGAGGCCCGCGGCCACGGCGGCGTCCCGCGCCGCGAAGGCGAGGATATCTGCGCAGGAGACCGTGCCGGGGCACATGCCCTCTAGAGTGGACTTGGCGATGTCGATGGTTCTGAGGCCGACGAGGGTGAAGCTATTAGCGGACGACTCCTTCTCTGGGACATCGCCAGCGGGCGACTCGTCCAGGAGAATAGAAGCGTCGCAACCCTGCACGCACAGAACCGGCCGGCGGCACAGGCATATGGGTGTACACCAACAGTCACCAACCCACGACGATAGGGTGTGCATGCATGCAGTGCATAATAAGCGTGAGCAAATGTGAGTGTTAATTAGGGAAGTTACCGTGATGAAACAGTCGTGGAAGAAGAGGCGAATGAGGCCAGGGGAGATGCCCTGGTCCATAGCGATTTCGTTGTTGACGATGTCGCTGATGACGCCCTCGGCCTCCGGGCAAGTCTTGCCATAGAACCCCACTTGCAGGCCGTCGACGATCAGCGCATCGACGGCCCTCAGCTGGGTCGCCGACGCCAACAAGGCAAAAAGGAACAGCAACGTGTGCCGCGACATGTCTCGCATGGTCGGGATCCCGCCTCCAGCAACGAGTTAACTTCGTGTTTATTAGCTCGCATGACGTTGTGGGACAGGAAAGGCAAGCTTAACGACGAGCTTGATTGCAGGGAAGAGCGACCATGGCCTCACATTATTTAGCCTCTTCACTTTTGTAGAGACCGTGATAATAATAGGCAACAAATAAGGTCAAATTTGCATCCAATATTATATACATTAATTAACGCCCCCCCCCCCCCCCCCTTTATACATGTAGTTGTACATCCCTTGCCTTTTGGTAGTACTCCCTCTCTCCCAGGTAGTGTTTGATTGAGAGCCAAAGTGGAGTGGGACGGTCCCGTCTCTGATTTCTAGGATGGGACAACTCTATTTTCTGTTTTATTGATAAGGGACAAGATGGATCCATTTTACGTTTGGTTGAAAGGGTATATATGAATGTGATGGATAGTGGATTTGATGCCGTTAGCTACTGTTTAATGGAATCCACGTGTCAATCTCTTATATAATATATATAAAAAATCCTCCAACTCCCGTACGGGCTTAGCAGCGTCGGCACCGCGAACCCCGCTAGGCACATGAGCTCGCTGCTTCCTCCGCTTCGCGAGCGCTACCACACCCACGCGATACCTCAGCAGGAGAGGTTGCTGTCGCGCCCCAAGCTCAGCGCGTCGGAGCTCGCCGCCGTAGCCGCAAATCGTCGTCGCCGCCATGGCCCCAAATCGCGCAGCACGCGAGAGCTTGGCATGGGAGAAGACGCTGCCACCGCGAGCTCGATGGGGAAGGCACTACCGCCGCTCATGCCTCGTCCACTTCCCCAGTCTAGAGCCAGAGTGCACCTGCCTAGAGCTAGAACACCACCCCATCATCCAGAGGTCTTGCCTTCCCGAGCTAGTCCAGCCGGAGGTGGCCCCGTCCGCTGCAAGAGAAGGGGGAAGAAGAACAGCATCGGCAGCAAACGGCGTCGAGTGGTCAAGGTGGGATGACTCTACCTGGCCTTGTTGCTGGGACAAGCTCGCCCCTCACTTTTATGGAATATTCCAGGAATATACCCTGGGTGAGATGTCTTAGTTCCAGTTGACTCTGAACCAAACACAAAACAAGGTTCATCCCATCCCATCCCACCTTATCCCTCTAACCAAACACTACCTAAGTAAATTGAATCCTAGCAAATTTATGACGAACTAGTACGGCAGAGAAAATACCATACTACCATTCATTAATCAGAGTTGTTGCACATTTGAGACGTTTCCACCCTTGAAACAAAGATACGTATTTCTCCATATTTAATGATTCAGTAAAGATTTCGCCAATTATGTTCTCCAATTGTGTTCTCCATTATTTTCGCGCTACAAATAGCTTCTCCACATTTTCTCTAGTTTTTTGTTTTATTTCTCCAAACGTTAACTCTCCGGTTGCTCTCCATTATTTTATAACTCCACAACACGTTATTTGCCAACTCTCCGTGAGTATAATTGCCAATAAATGCTCCACTGAGCCCGCTGACCAGCTACGTTTTTACCCACGCCATCCAGAAGCGGTCCTGGTCTTGACTTCCTCCTACGGGTGCATGAGCCACGCTCTGCGCTATGGACAGTCAGCAGCGACTCCCTGGCGACGCTCTTTTCTCTTATGCGTACACAGGTGCCAGCCATTCCGCGCTATAGAGCTTTGGGGCTAGTCAGAGATGGTGACGCGATACAAAACTAGCTGGAGAGCATATAATATCTAACATATGAACTAAACATAACTCCGAAACCAACATTCAGTGTTCAGCAAAAGTTGCTAAGACACTGTACATAACATTCAAACGTAAGTTTTTCTCCTAATCTACTGGGCATTTTCTAGTCTTTCGCCGAACAGGTCGACGTCGCTGGCAAGCTTCACCGCCGCCTCCTCCGCCTCGTCCTCAAACTTCGTGATCTTCGCCGCACTCGTTCCTCGGGCATAACCGGTCATTATCACTTCGGGTTTTACTGAAGGATAATGTGACCGCAGCACCGCGAGTGCGTGGATCACAGCTCCTTGAGCGGCGCTACGTGTGAACTCCCTGAAGTCCATCCAGGCCCTCTGGCACCGACTTAAGATCGGCCGGGGGGCTATCCTAAAGCGACGCACTCATCTGGAGCCACCCTGTCCGGCAGTAGAGTCGGCTGGCGTCTCCATGTTCCTCGGGCTGTGGCTTGGATTGTTGCCGCCGGGGTCACCTGCGCATGCTCGGGGACTCGCTTGGCGGTTCCGGCCGCTATTGCGGGGTTGTCCGAACAGCCTCGAGGACTGCGGTCATCGACCCAGCCATCATCGCCCGGGTCGTCCGAGCGCTCTTAGCGATTGTGGCCATGGCCTCCCGTGCTCAGCGCCTTACCCTCGTCTCTGCTCCAACTGGTGCAGCTGGCGACAGCGTCCCGGTGCTCGAGGGTGAGCGAACCACCGCTTCGTCATCCTCAAATGAGTCCGGCAGAACCATCTACCGTCTTCGGGGCTGCGTGGCACCCCCAATGCTCACAGGTCCCTCTTCACAGCAAGAGGAGCCTGACGTTTTCTCCTCTTCAGGGACAATTCCTCTTGTGCTGGTCGCTTCCCCCAAAGTTTCTCACTGACATAGGTAGTCTGTGCATCTTCAAGTACATCGCCGGGGCCGTCTGACCCCTCCTCGCTAGTCCTCGAGCTGGATGGACGCTGGGGACTGCTCAACTGGGCATCTACAGCCCTTGGCCACTCCTCCGACGGCACCAATGAGAAGTACACTGCCCGATCTTGCCCACGAATCTTCAAGAACGCACATGAATACATTGCATAAAGACAAAGATTGAATACACGTTACAAGTAAACTCTTACTGCTCGGGGAAGGCTCGCGACGCTGAATGCCCTTTGTTGGTCTTCGATGGACGCGTGCCTCGTGAGGTTGAACAGCATCGCGATGCGCCGCATGACTTCGTTCCGGTCGATCTCCTCGGGCACCATGCGGTCCCGTCATTGTCTACCCGGAATTCATATCTAGGATTTTTCCTCTCTTTGCAGGGATGGATCTACCGGAATGTGAAATTCGTGGCCACTACAACTCCATCTAGCCTCTTGCAATTTATCAGAGTCAGGAGCTCCCTCACCTGCTCCATTCCATGGGAACTGGGCCTCTCCGACCACTTGGGGTCGCTCACTGGGAATTGATCAACATCGCACTGCACATACGGCTCCACCTGCCTGATGTAGAACCATCTACAGGCCCAGTACTTCACATTCATGTTCAGCTAGACGGCGATGTATTGACTCGCCATCCTGTCCCGCAGCTGTAGATAGGCGCTGCCAACCACCCTAGATCCCCCTCGGATTTTGAGGCAGAAGAAATGGCGGAACAGATCGAAATGAGGAAGGATTCCCATATACGATTCACAAAGATTGATAAAAATTGCAACGTGCAATATGGAGTTCGGGGAAAGATTGCACAGACTGATGCCATAATAAGCAATGAGATTGTGGAGAAAAGGATGAACAGGAACGCCAAATCCATAGAAGAAATAATCATCGAACACGACCAACTCATTAGTACAGGGAGTGGGAAAAGTCCTCATCGGCTGCCGCCCGCCATCCTGCTGTCGACCTATCGGGCAATGCGCCGTACACCACCAGGTTGTTGAGCGTTTCCTCATCGCTAATGGATCACACCAACTCTTCATCGTGGTTGATCTCGTGTGCCACCTTCTTCGAGCCCCTACGGCCTCTCTTCGGCGCCATCGAGCTAATCTGGGAAGCGGAGATTGCTTTGTGCTTGGAGTTGCTCTGATGGCGGAGCGGTTACGGATGAAGTAGTGTGAGAGCAAGGAAGACGATGAGGAATGTAGAGGAATGGGGAGTGCATCTCAGGGTCGTGGCAGATTTATAACGGTTTGACCCAACTCTTTAACTTCCAGGGTTTTTGGGAAACCACGCCCCCCGCGCCGCGTTCACCCCCAAAATCTTCGCGCACTTTCTTGGGCCGTTAACTGGGCCTAGTGGATTCTGCAACTGAAGCCACGTAGCACGCGGGCCGCCAAGTGTAGATAAGCATAACAGCGCTGGTATTTTTGGGAATTTCAAGCAAGACTTTTTTCTTGACCCTGCTACAAGATTTATTCTTCATCTTTTAGTAGGCTCGGGGACTAAGTGAGTACAGTTCACCTTGTGGTGAATGTACTAATTTTTGGATCACTCGATTTCTCAGCTATGCTGGAACTGGATGCTTTCCTTGGCAATGCCGGGGACTGGTTGCATTCTCAGCTACGCTGGGGATTGCCTATTTTTCTACAAGACCCTGACACCAGGTGTATTCTACACCTAATCTCAGGCCCGGGGACTACAATGTGTACACTGCACCTCGCGGTACATGTACTAGTTCTTCATGATGTTTTGGCTATGCCAAGATTGTCACTTAATGCCTCTGCTTTGCTCTGGTGACTATGTCATCAGTGCAATTGCAACTGGCACTTAAGTGTGTACACTGCACCGACCAAGAATTCTCAAATTTTTCTGTTGAGCTCCTTACATCCTATTTGTGAGCCTTACTTGGCTAAGTCCAAGGTTTGTTGGTCAGCTAAACTGGTCGGCAGCTGTCCTCACAGGTCGGCACGTTAGTTAAACTGATTGGCAAGTGATTTCACCGCCTAGGCCACCAGTCAAGCTGGTCGGCCTTCATCTTCACCGCACAGGCCACCAGTCAAACTGGTCGGTTTTCATTTTTACCGCTCAGATCATCAGTCAAGCTGATAGGCTTTAGGTCAAACTGCTCGGACTTGATTAAGACAGCGTCACCAAGCGGGCATAAGGCGCCCGGGGACTAACTGTGGGGGGTTTGACCCTAGGTACCCACGGCGATGCACATGGGACGCACCAACAGGGATGGTCCAGCCCACAAGACGAAAGCTTGCGGCGCACGACACAGCTCGACGCCCACAGCAAGGCATCTCGGTGGCATCCTGAAGATCACGTAGAATCTGTTAGGATATGCCGAATGTATGATTCCATGTATA